TCCACAATGTAATCTGGCCTAATCCCAAAAACTGAAGTGGATTCTCCACAAATCCATCCACTGCTATAGGCTTTTTTTTTTTTTTTTTCCCATTCTCAAGATACATGGTCCCCTACTTAATCATCTGAAAACTAATTTTAAAAGAATGTTTATGTGATTATACATGCAAAAAGGAGCTCACATTCTTTATAATGCACATACCAGCAGAAAAACCTGTGGAAATGTAGTCCCATCTCTTGCATTATTTTAGAATGAATTACAAGAAAACAGAAATGAGAATATTAGACTTAGTTGGAAAGATTCTATGTCCAGACTAAACGCTCTAGACAATTCTTTAGGAAGATGTCAATGTTGTAAGCACTGATTTTTAGTATGCAATATTCTTAGTGCTGTGTTTTAATCAGCAAAAGAAGATATCAGATGGTTGCAGGTAACACATAAGATGTTACCACATGTATTATCTCTCAGTATATGGGTCATCTGCTCCCTATAATGTAAAAACCTTAGACACCTTTACAGATTCAACATATAAAAATCAAATGAGGAAGAAAATAAAGTGATAAGTATATATTCAACTTCTTTCCTCTTATTTTTGTTTTCAGTCACTGTTGATTCATAGATTTACTTTGGCACCATGTCTTTTTGTCCACTGGGAGCTGGCTCTTTTCCAGTTCCTATTCTTGTGTACCTTGACTTGTCTTCCTTTCAGTGCACACTAGCCTTCATAAGTAATTCCCATAGAGATGACCAGATTTTACAAATTTGTGATTTGCAATATTACACAGCTGATATAGAATAAACTAGTGATAGGCTGCTTCCAACAATTCCAAGACTTTATTTCACCAACAGACTATGGAGCAGGCAGGATGCATGGAGCAGTGCTTTCTTAGAAGTATATGATTTCTATCACAGACATCATACAGCAGCACCATTAGTGCACAGAGGGCAAACAATCCGTTTGTCAGCCTTTCGTCTGCTCTTGGGTTACCTGGCTGTTGAGGCCAGTGAGGCAACTTATGCTTGGGCCCATCAAAAATATTGATGAGTTCAGAGGCTTTCAAGAAAAAATCTGATATTATTCAGAACAAATAATACCAGCATTGCCAAAGTGGTTCTAGTAACCAAAACCAAAATGGTTCTCAGTTCTAATTCTTTTTATTTCTTTGTTTTTTTGTTTGTTTGTTTGTTTGTTTTTTAGAGTTGAATGCTCAGAAAAAAATTACTAGCAATACTAGTTTGTCTTCAGCATTTTAGTGTATTGCTCTGGTATATGTCTTAACATTTAAGTTTGACTTCAATGCGGGTGTTACTTCTAACCAGGTGAGATGAAAGTAGCAGAGGAATCTATTTGCTTAACTCCTGTCCTTTACTAACTAAAAATCTTAAATCTTTACAGTAGCCATATTTTTATATGGAATGGTTTAACTTTGTGTAGTGCATATGAAATATATTTGGAGTGAAACAGAAGTTGTTTTCTTTTCGTTCCACTTCTCTAACTATTTAAAATCATAACATTGTAAGTATACAGAATAAAATGTATTTGAACAAGGACAAATACCTCAGTCTTGAATGGAAATTAACTGAAATAGTGTCAAATTTGAACAGGTTTCCTATAATAAATTCACATGCATTATCCACATTTTCATTTCACCATATTGTTCCCTGCTTAATTAGGTACTGGCCATGTTCTGCTTCATGCTTTTAATCTTGCTGCTTTTCACACTGCTTTAGCTAGCTCAAATTGAGTGCTCAGCTAAATCTGTAAAATGATAATTTATTTAACAGTATGTTAGATTTATAGAGCAGTTCAACAGTAACACACTCACTGTAGTAATCATGTAGCACATGCTAACATAATTACTCTAGATGTTCTGAAGTAAATATGAAGTACAGTATTTGTTAATTGAATGCTAAGCGTAGCATTATCTGATTCAAGAATCAAAAATAAAGTTGACATGATGTGGCCTTTTTTTTTTTTTTTTTTTTTTGGAGGAAAATTCAGGGTCTCTATTGGAAGAGAGGGTACTTTTGGCATGAGGACTCTATTAAGCAATGCTAATTTCAATCCTTAATTTCCTTATGCTTCATCTTCTCCTATGTAAAATGGGGTTTGTAATCTTCCTTTTTTTTAATCCAGACAGTAAACTTTTCTGAATAGGAACTTTGTTTTACCATGTACACAAGAAGGACCTGAAAACAAGAACATGATAATATTGTAAGTTAGAAGAGGCAACTCTGATTACATATAGGTAAAATTTTAACAAATCAGTTGAGTTCTAGAAAGGGTTAGTTCTACTGCTGTTGGGCACTACTGGTTAAAGCTTGATTCTATCCTAAGGAAAAAGCTTGTGCTTTTAATCCTTTCTCTCTCCTTTTTTGATAGTCCCTCATCCCTTCTTCTCCTCCTATCATTATTTTTGCACTTCAGCCTTCGAAAAGCATGACCAGCTGAGACAGATTTTCCTAAATATATAATTAATATGTGGTAAATATCTTTTTATTTACACTGCAAGTGATACAAAAAAAATTTCTGTTTCAACCGATTTTCTAGATGACTTAAACATCTCACAAAAGAGCAAAACTCCTGGCATACATTATAACTTAAGAAAAAAATCAAAAATCAAAACACTGAATTTATATAAAACAATCATAAATTGCATGTATTTCAAAGGTGTAGAAGATGCAGCCCTCATTCAGGAGCAGAGCTCGGGCGTGAATTCTCCAAAGGGAGACCCAGGGACAAGTTTTGCAGTCCTGCTCCCGGACGATCTGGGGCAGAACCCCACAGAGCCTCTGCCATGCAGTCAGAGGCAGTTTTCCCCGCTTGGAGGACCTCCTCTGCACGGGGCACTCACCAGCTGCCCCCGCAGCTTCAGCACGGGGCGCTGGCGGACAGCGCCATCCCGGGGCAGACCGCAGCCCTTCGGCAGCCGCCCCGGGACGGCGCTGTCCGCCGGCGCCCGGTGCTGAAGCTGAGAGGGCAGCTGTAAGCGATGGATGCGCGGGCAGCGCCGGGCCGGATCCTGCGAGCAGCACATTGCCCCGAAAATCCCTCTGTTGCACCACACCCGCTGCTTGCTCCTAACAGTTCAGACGGGAGATCCGCGCCCTCGGTGGAGATTTCAGAGCAGGAACTGACAAGCGGTGAAGGCATAGCGGATAGCCTTAACTGATATAATTTTAAATACACAGAAGCAGACTTCTGCGTCCTAGAGAATTTTCTTGCCCAGAGGGGTTGATAAGTATGTATGAGGACTGTGGAAAAGAATAATGTATGGAGAAAAATAAATGGCAGCAGGAAAAATCAAGAGAAAAAGGTGGGAGAAAGAGGGAGGAAATATTAGTAAGTAAAAGGGCTATGGTTACATTTGTGTGTGTAAGCTCACATTACTATGTGCTGAAATACATGTGACAGAAGCAAAGCGATGCAGCTCTGTAGCAAGACAGCTATGCTGTCAAGGCAGAATCTATAACATACCTGGAATTCAATAAAGTCTTATTTTTTTCTGCCTAAAATGGACATTTGCTAATACTTGTCATCAGATATACAAATAATGTATGTCTAGCTTTAGTGACAAGCACTTCTGAAAATTAATATTAAGTCTTTAAAAAAAATTTTCTATTTTCCTGCAAACATTATTAGAAAATAACTGGAAGGAACTGAAAGCAGTGTTTTGTACAGTAAATACCATTTAAATGGCGCTTCAGACTTGTGTTCTGCGTTCTGCTGCTGTACCACTGGGTGGGAGTGTTGCAGCTTTTTCCGGAGTTGATTTGCAGTCACATACCTAAAAGTTGCAGTTATGTCCTGTTGCACAACTTGGTGAGGAGACGAAGAACTCAGAGCTGGAACTTGCAGTGAAAACATCACCGGGAGACCTCAGAGGATTTAAAAAAAAACTAATTGGAAGAGACTAGGTAGACAAAAGACTAGAGAAGGAAGCCCAATCTACTCAAATGGAAAACACAAGTAATACTGAGTGTTATCCAGAAAGAGGAAACACAGAGAAGGATGGTGATAAGAACTTGTGCAGAGAACTGGTGGGTCAGAGCCAGCCAACCTTGCAGCAGATACTTATCCTTGCTCTGAGTTCCCTTCACACAGGTGCACTGAGATGGGAGGTAGTGGTGGTTGATTTGATAGGACAAAGTTTTTCTCCCTGCTATGTTTCTACTTTCTTTTCTGTTTGTCTTGCTGCCACTGCAGGCCTTTCCAAGAGATTTTCATCATCCTACCATTTCCTTTCCATCTCCAGCCACATCAGATTTTTTTCTGTCATTTTCCAGTTTACTTCATCTCTGCCATTATTAGTTATTTAATCAAGAGTTCTGCTGTGAATCTTAATATTGATTATCAATTTATAAACTCATCGAACTTTGATAGCTGTTTGCAGTAAGCAGGTTTTTGAATTTGCACTGAACTTGCAATTTGCTTGTAGCTGTAGGGATATGCTCAGATAACACTATTCCAGGCAGAGGTAAAGAAGCCATAGGAAATGACTGCAAACTTTTAATTGTGTTACAAAATAGGTAATGGGAATATTGCTTCGTAACCACAGTTGGTAGATTCTGATAGAAAATTCTGGGGACTTTTTGCTCCTTTGTTTAACTCGGGATCCAAGTAAGACAACTCAGAATTAGGCCTACATGCTGGCAAATTGAATTAATTGCCATACATATTACAGGGCTGCACAGAGTGCTTGCATCTTAAATGATACTCAAGCAAGTAGGGATTTTGTCTTGTGGCATGTATGTACAGTAAAGATGTGGTATAGAACACCCAAAGTTCTTATGAATCCTCAAGAAAGCACTTGGAAATAATGGCCTTTGCATGTATGCTAAAGCTCTTAAAAACACTACTACATTTAAATACCAGTAATTGCAAATTTATTGCACAATTTAAGAAAATCTTGCACAATTAAAAGAGAAAAAGTAGAAATTAACCTCCAAGCAACAATATATTTAAATCATTTATTGAAATTCCTTTACATGACGGAGAAACTGCAGTTTATAACATGAAGGCAAATATGTGTTGTGATGTTAAGAATAGCAAAAAATAGCTAGCTCAAATGTTGGGTATCAAATGGAAAAATCTGCACATGGCTCAGTGAGTGATAGTTTGGCCCCACTCATCTGTGCCAGCAAGGCATGCTACCCACAACATGGAGAGAGGAGATTGAGGGGGTATGTTGTGCCTGAGAGGGAACCCTTCCTCTCCATTCATGCCTGAATAATAAAGCCTCATTCTGATCCAGCAGGAGAGGCATTTGCACATCTTTCTAAGGGATTACATGCTAGCACCATGATCAAGTCCCAGGTTGGATTCTTCTACAGGAATGCTTCAAGTGATATCTAATATTTAACCATAATTGAGACATTTAGAAACAACCATGCTTAGACCTGATATTTATAATAGCTACTTCCCCCATTTTGTAGCAGTGTATCTTATTTAACTCTGTGTGCTTTAAAAATTATCATCAGATTTTCCTTTTTATCTTTCCTATCTCATAGGTAAAAGTCTTGGTCACAAATCCATCCTGTTACACTCTGTAAGGAGGATGGCCGTTTTCCCAGGATAAACCTCAGTGTCTTCCTTAAGCACTGGAACAGAGAAGAGCCCTACATCTTCTGTTAGAACATGTCTCCATGCAGCAATCTTCTTGTATACTTTCAATAAATTCACTAGAGATGTGAGATCAAGCAAAAACCTTTCTACCATGAAGATGTGCAGAAATGAAGGTGAACCCCAGTAACCTGAACATCAGGCTGAAAGAATATGGCAAAATACGATGCAGTATAGGTCAAAATATAGCATGTATTCCTGTACATGATGAGAGCACTCACTACACATAACATTTTAAGCATCTGAGTAGAAAATAAATTAATGAAGAAAAATTCTGTTTCAGGAAAGAGCGAGTATAATGCAACAGATGGATATTTTTAACTCACCACTGTCTAAGTGGGAGGGGCTGCTAACAAGAAAAGATGGCATGTTAATAACCCAAAATATGGTCATGATCACTTGTGTATGGAATTACGGGATCAGAAATTCACAAATATATCTTTTGGCAGTACGGCAGACCTCATCCACCCACTTGCCTTGTGTTGAAGAGAAGACACAATTTTCACGCTTCCCCCCGTTTGGCTGGGCATGATCCCAATTGAAGTACTGTAGAGCCATGCCATTAACATCAACAAACTTCCCTTCATTTACCATGTCATTGACACCTAGCCAGAACTCAGACCCTCCAGGCATACTGTTCTTGCCATAGTCGCGGAGAGTATTTGTTTCATCGCTATTCCTTGGGATAGCCAGTGTCCCTCCCTTGGCTATGCAGTCTTCATTGGCTTCATGAAAATGCTTGGTGCCTTCTGATATGAGGTAGCACTTCTTATGGGCCTTTGTCCCTCGAAGACAGACTGTGAATAGATATTAGTTTGCAAATTCAGTAAAAGCTTGAGCTTTAAATGATGTTTCCTAAAGCGTGATTTTCTAAAGGTGTCTTGGTGGTTAAGCAATCAGTTGCTCAGCAAGTGAAAAGATCTTGCACCTGAAGAGTGGGTCTGCTACTCCTGTTTATGTAGTATCTTGTATGCAGCCAACATGCCAGCGTGCCTTTAGGAAGTCTAGATGGCTCACAGACACACTGTGGGGTCCTGTGGGGTGTAAGAGTTGGCCAAAATCTGAGCATGCTCTTAGGGCTACTGCAGAAAAGTCACTTAAGAGAATGGATAGATAAAGTTGTGATCTTAACACCATCAGGTACTTTGGAAAATCTTTCCTGTGTTTACTTTGATGAACCTGAAGCATGATTTAAGCCTCAGATTCCTACTTTAATTTAGGTTTGCGGGGGTTTTTATGTTTGAGTTTGGGTTTTTTTAATTTAATTTGGCTACTTCTGAACAATAAAATATAAACCAGGCCTGTTGTCAGTATGTCTTATCACTTGTTTCTGTAAATAGTCCTCTTTTAACATGTCTTACCTTATTTCATCTCTTAAAACTGGTGCAATGGGTAGGTATGGATGTTCATAGTGTAGGCAGATGTGAGTTAATCGTTAGGAAATCTATACTTGGCTTTATACTAAACAGGCAGATCAAAGGTCTTTTCATATTGACGGTATTCAAGTTCCAGAGTAAAGCATTATGCATTAAATAGGCCTATTTCATAGCAAGGAAATACTAGAAATGCTATTTTAAGTATGTCCGGCTTGTCAGAAAAATATTGATTTGAAAATCATAATGCAAATCTCTTTCTGAGTGATTGACAAAAGTATATTCCCACCTGCAGAGAAGAGTTCTTTAGTTCTTAATTTCTGGTCTTTCCAGCAAAGTGTATCCCTTCAAACTCAAATGATGTAAAGTGACTTAGATCTATTAAAACTTTCTAAAAAGCGTACTGAGTTTGCGTGACAATCTGAACCAAGTAACATAAGCATCTGCATTTAAAATCTGTTTGGACTTAGTTCTTCTGGAACATATCAGGGAAGTCTTGATGTAAAGCACAAGTGTACTGAAACATGAATTTGGCATCTGCTCTGCAACTGGAATTGCCTTGCAGAACTGCTCTCAGAGTTCTTCCAGCCCAAACTGTGCGGGCAGGCTTGCAGGAGTCAATCTTCAAGCTTCACTTTCCAGCTCTCCTAATGCACGTATGTTAACAACTGCCTCTCCCAAGAAAAGTACTTACAAGAACAGAACCCACCTCATAGGAGTATTTCTTCTAAGTTGAGAAAGGTAGCAAAGAGCTTCAATAGACTACTAAAATACTTATTTTTGGAATCTTGCATCTGCCTGCTTCCAGGCCATTTCATTTATTGCTTAAACTCATCTTGTACTTAAATAAGAACAGTCATGAAACAATATGAACATCTTCTGTCCTGATGTTTTCTATAGTCTGTTTCTAATTCCTGTCATCTGATCTAGTAAAAAAAAAAAAAAAAAAAAAAAAAAAAAAAAAAGTAATAATGTATCTGATCAACAGGATATGGAAATTCACTCTGGACCAAATCCTACATGCCTCAGTTCTTTAGCATCTCCAGTTCTAGCAGTCATTGCATTCCTTAGCTGCATTTTCAAGATCATCTTTTTATGCTGGGACTTATCCTTCAAACGTCATCCTTTCCAAGTGCTAAGCTAGACAGTGGTCAAAGAAAAGTAATTAGAGTACTTGCTAAATTTTGAATTCTTTAACAAATTTATATTCATGGGAAAATCAGAGACTTAATCTATTTCAACAATTCTGCAGTAATGATGGAGACTATTCCTCTTTAGGGAGAAAGTTCATGCTGCTAAATGGCATATGGCAACATTTCACGGTATGTAGAAAGGAGAACTAGGAAATTCAAAAAGAAAAAGAAGGAATCAGAATGTCTTGAAAGCTCTTATAAACTAAAAAAAGAGTTACTTTTTAAACTATCATAAAGCCATTAACAAATGCAGTCTGAGCTAGAGGGGTGATAGGTCTCTTTTTTGCCAAATTTGGAATCCATTTGATCAGTGTGGGTTCTGAATTTAGAATAGAACTCAAAATAAGTTTTGAGGATAGCAGATCTCCTGCCTCTGGTTTCATTTCTAAGCCACTGCTTGCTTACTCTCAAGCTTCTTCTGGAAGCAATACAAGAACTACTTTTAAACAAGAGTTACTTGTCTAGCACAGGTTTCCTCTTTTAAGAAATTTCTATAGTCCTCTTATGAGAAATTTATAAGAAAAATATTTAGTAAAGCTCAAAAAGCTCAATGCTTCCCAGGATGCAAAACAAGACAAACCCGCATATTACCATCCCTAAGCAAAATATGTTCTGTTTCATGTGAATGATGTCATTTCCTCTGTAGAGTCCTCTTGAATATGTTTAAATGTCAGGCTTTGTGTCAACAGCTGTGAAAAAGAAGAACTGTCTAGTAAGTGTGCACATATTTATCCTTATTTTGCTTGGAAATTTCCATCTAACTATTGAAGTATTTAAAGGACTGCGTGTTGATACAGAATATTTCTGGACTCTCAGTGAATACTACTTTGAGGTTTTAGAGTAACATTCACATCTGAATGTTGCAGTTTCCGCCATTTAGGATGACTCAGTCCTTTAAGCTTTTTTTTTTTTTTTTTTTTGGATATTCTCAGCCTTTACAGTGACTGTTTTTGTTTTAATAGTTAGCCCATGTTCGTATCCAAGCTGGGAACCCAACTTACTGACCATTTAAGCTCTGAAACCCAGCAACTATGCCTACTTCTGGTTATGCCTAACATGCACAAGAATCACAGCTAGAGGTTGTGCATAGCAAAGACAATGGTAGTTCTTACTCCAGAAAAATTATTGCTCTTAGTGAAGAATCACCACATGTGTACCACTAGTTCATACTTGCTTTTGCCCAAATACTTTCTTCAATTCTTGTTTCATCAGTATAGCTGTATCATGCTATGCTCTAAGAAGCCATATTCATCAGTCTCAAATCACCTTTAAAAAGATGATTGAGACTGCAGAGTGTGAGAGAGAAGGCAGTGGTAACTTTTGGATGCCACTGGTCAGGATAAGCTGCTTTACGGTAACTTTTGGATGCCACTGATCAGTATAAGCTGCTTTACCTGATTGAAGTGCTTGCATTTCTTTGAGAGCATTTACTTCTCGCCACAACTTGTCAATCTGGGTCTTGAGGTCATCTTTTTCTTTAATGAAAGAAATACAGAGAAATAAGCAGGTATGCATGCAAAAAAAGTTATTTTTTTCATTTTAACAACTGTTGAGTTTCTGCATTGCCAAGACGTATTTTGCCATTTTAAAGCATCAGTATTCTAGCTGCCCATCTCTAGTTTATAGCAAAATTTGCCTGTTTACATTTGAACCTGTATGCTGTGGTGTGTGGGTGTACGTGTACATGTCTGTGTATATATATATGTCATAAAAACAAAAGCAGGACAGAAGATTCTGTGTACACATAAGTTTTACACGGCTTTCTTTTTAACACAGCCAGGGATAGCCCATACAATCTAAGTTTGATGTCTAAATGCATGCAGACGAGCTTGCTGAGCTACAATCTCCCCTCCCCAGGGGGAGCCTTCCTTCCCATTGATGATTCGAGTCACCCACATTCAGCCCACGTCACCATTTTGTGACACTGACAGAAGTACCAAAAAGATGATGAGATAAGAAAGGATGCTAAATTGCACATAATAATTCCTTTTTCATGCTCTCTTTTGCATATTTTTCCTCTTAATCATTCTAATGGCCCACCGCAATCAAACAGATAGCAGACAGGATTCCATTACACAAGTTTACAGTTTGATTGCAGTGGTAAGCAAACCTTCCAGAAGCCTCAGTAATGAGCAGGAGGAATAAATAGGCTCTTTCACAAGCAGCAGAACTAACAAAGCCACAGTTCCTACAGATCGTGTTACATCACCTAATCCTCCAGCTCCACCCCAGAAAGCTTGTCCCTTCTCCATACTCCCTAATCAGAGGGGATTGACCTCAGCTGTCCTTTATGTTCCCCATGGCAGGACTCCCAGTCCGTGTTCTTCCCTATGACTCCCAGTTCCCAGTAGTCTCTCCATGATCCTTCTCTGCTTTGAAAGAGGTAAAAAGCAGAACAGATGAGCTCCTGGGACTATTGATTTATTTATTTATTTAGTAGTAGCACACTTATTTATGCAGATCTTTTTTTTTTTTTTTTTGCACCCACATCCTGAATTTCATAATTTTGGGTAACTTATCCTCAGAACACCCATTATTTTGACAAACTGTTTCAAATGCAGAAGTTATCAGTGGAAAGCAGACAGAAAAATGTGCTGGCAGCACAAGGGTATATCAAGCTAAGAACTGAAAAGATTCAAAGGGAAAAATAAAAATATGTAAGTCTATAGCTCCAAAGCAGTATAACTGTGCTGTACAGTGGCTTTATCAAGGCTCCATATTTTCCACTGACAAGGAGCTTAAATATTTGCCATTAGTGTAACCTCCATCATGCGCACTTCTACTAGAAATAAGCCCTTAAATTAAGTACACAGACCTTTCCAAACAGTCAGTGGTTCTGTATTTGCTCTGTAATCTTTGCTCTGGGAATTTAATCCTTCTTTTGGGAATTCTTTTTTATTAATTTGACTTGCAATTTCACCATATTGCTCATACAAGTAGTATCCCACAAATATTACACAGACATTTTGTTAAAATTAGGAAAAGGACAAAAACCTGAACAATAACCCTTGAAGACTTAATGTTTTATTCTGCTCTTTTCCATCATATGTACGTGAATTTCCATTCTTCTGCTCTTAATCAATATAACTGTGTAACTAGGAATGATTGGCTGGAGTCTTCTCAGCTTTACCTTTGTATCATAAATAATGTCAGCTGTTAACAGAGATGAACAGCCATAAAAGAGCAAGATATTTTTTAAAAGCAATGCAGCTTTATTTCTATAATTCATTCTAGCACATCATTCTTGGCTTTACTAACTCACATAAAAATATTTGAAAGACAGGCATAATATAGACTTGACTATCATTAGTTAATAAACATTTGAATAGTGCTACTTTCTTACTCACACAATGTTAAGTACATAGTAACCTTGCACAGTCTATAAATCTCTATCCCTTCTCCCAGTTAAAACCCAGTACCTTTCACTCTACGTTTGCTGTGCTTCCTAGCTTTGACTTTGGAAGCCTGGCTGATGGTCTGATCCAGCAGTAATATGCTTATGAGTAGAAAAATCATAAGTCCAGTTTGTGCCATCTCTCCTTTAAAGAACTTCACAAAAATCTTCAAGAGATTCTCTTCAGCAGCTTTGAGAGCAAGTCACACAGACACATCACAGTCAGGACTGACTGAGGTCAGTTTTATAAAAGTGTAGTGACAGGGTTGGCTGTGCTCCTTGCTTACGAAATGTGTTTAATACTGAAGCTGGCTGCAGCATAAGGTGCCCCCTTGTTCTCACGTCTCTTCTGAAATTCCTGTTTCCTTTTTGGGTTCAACTGAGACAGGTTGCTTTAAGGGCACTGAACAGTGCTTCGATTGCTGCAGATGAATGCCATTTCTTCAGAGATAACACTATCTTTGAAGCATAACGGTATGCAAAAGCAGAGGGATGCTCAAAAATGCCTTGTGTAACGCCAGCCTCAGGATGGGGGTAGCATGTCTCTGTCCCATGCTGATTAAGTATGGACAGTGGTCATGATCTTATTTACACTGAAACAAAAAAAGATGTTGTCCCTTAGTAAACATGGCAGCCACACACACAGAGAATATATATCACATTGTCAGATGTTCATTAATGATTTTATTAAGAGTTCATAAATACCTGCTAGATATTACTGTGCTTCTGAATAAGAACATTATGTGCTATCAGCAGGGTCTAGTTAGGGGAACAAAAGATCTTTTACACTCTTACAATACTTCCCAAATCCTCAGTACATGGCCAGGGCAGGAGATACTGCTTACAGCAAAGTACAAGATACTGGAAGCAGGACAGTGCTATCTAGACTATGGAGAGGTGTCTGCATTTGGAGCTCTTCAATTTGCCTTGAGACTGAGATTTTTGGGAGTGCCTTTAAATTGGGATTGCTATAAGCAATATCACCTTTCACTCAGTTTAGTGGATAAATCAGACTTTCAACAAGAGGGTTTGTTTAAAATGCTGACACTGAAGTCATTGTTGAGCAAGGGGTGCAGGCAGGAAAACTTTATGCCACTCTGAAGCTATGATTCCAGACCCCTCTTTGCCATCTGCCTTGGTTCCATTCTAGTCATATTATCACTGTTTTTCTTCTAGAACTGTAACAGCAAGAGACTTATTACTTTATTAAAAGGAAGCTGAGATTTAGAGGCATGCTGTTTTACTACATGAGTGCATACTGGCTTTTTTCTAACCACATAGATTCTAAAATCACTGCAGCACTCGTAATGTAAAACATACCTACACCAGCTGTTTTAGATACCTCCAAACAACTAATTGGATTCTCCATAGCTGGTACACATCTATTAATCATGAACTAATACTTTATAAACTTTTCATAAATTCAGTGATTTTCTAAAACTTGTTTCCAGTAGTTTGCTTCAAAGTATTGAAGTACGTTGCATTGTGTAGAGAAAATTAGGAACAGTGCTAAAAGAACAGTCTGAAGCTCTGTTTTGAGCTTAGGACTTATCAACAACAACTAAGAAAGCAAGTTTAACTTCTTGTATACAGCGTGTGAGCAGAAGAGTCAGGGAGAAGCCGAAATATTTTGCTTAGAATATTTAAACTCCCAGTGCTAGAGTGAGGAAGCAGAAAATGGAACCTTATGGGAGGCCTAGAGCCCCTCCAGAGTAAATACATTCTCTGTGTATGGTCTAGAAACTGGCATAACAATGTCATTTAGAGCTGTAATTTTTCTTTTACAAGTATAGTTAGAGTAATATCATATGGCCCAGAGAGTGAACAAAGTTACATATATATGAAAGTAATTTTTCTTGGGACAAATTAGTCCTCTTTCTGTATGAGAATGTGCTATACAAATATAAATACTCATACTTTTATAGCTGTGTCCAGACTAAGATATGTTTGTGCTCTTTATTCACACCAGTATAGTAGAACTGCATAAAGACAAAGCTGCAGTTTTTCTTGAATTATTTGGTTTGAAAAGAAACATTTTGCAGAATTCAGAGCTGCTGTACTGCACAGACACCTGGGTGGTTTTCTGGCTCCTGATTCCCTGCCTCATTCCCTTTGCTTTCAGACAACTGAACCATTCAAAGCTTAAGCAACCTTTGGTGAAAAGTTCATTTCAGTTTTTACACAGAGTCTCTTCAAGTTAAAAAGTCTATTCCCCTCAGAGACAGTTCCACCTTTATGTGCTCCTGTAAACTGGCTCAGAAAAACTCTTTGTACAGCTGTTTTTCCTTTCCATTCTCAGCCATCATTGAGTTTGTGGAAAGAACATGCAACTGGGCACAGAGTATGAGAAGTCAGTGTGAGACGTGGACTGGATGCTCGGCTGAGATCCTGAAATAGTCTGGCTGCAGCAGTAATTTCCTGTTATGAGGAATAGGATCTATGCAGGAGGATCGTGTCTTTTGTTATCCCCTGAGGTAGTAGAGCTACAAGAAGAATAATACTTGCAATAATATCTTTAAAGAAAGATAATGTGGTATCTTGAAAAGCAAACCATGCACAAATTGTGTTTTACTGATGGCTCCCTCCAGGTTTCAGAATTGATTGCATCATGGTCTGTTGGACCAAGTGGGAAACTGAGGGCTGTGTCTGCTGCTGAAATCTGAGCAACTGTTTCTGCAGCATTTCAATTACAGAAATCTCAGCTCAACGTAAGATTTGGAAAAGAAGCTTGTACATGGGTAATTATTTTCCTGTTCTACTGAGAGTATAAACAGAAAATGAGAACTGATCAGAGCTGTTGCCAGCCAAAGGAATTTCAGGTGGGGTAAATCCAAGAGCCAGTGTAGCCAACAGAGGTTGATCGCCTCCCAAGCATCAGTTTTTATGAATGATTTGGGTAGTATATGGGATCCATGGGTTGATTTTCATTTGTTTAAACTAAATGCAAGAGATTTTGCAAATTCTGCTAACCCAGGATTATGTCATGCTTGGAAAAATACAGTGTGCTTGATTTCTTTGGCCTTGAAAAGTCTTAAAAACTCCTTCTTAAGGATTTTGTCTCCGTCGAACCAGGTACGAGGCAGGTCTATGGCTAACATCCCAACACCAAGGTTATTTGGGGGAAATTTGTACAAGTAAGCTGTGTATTTGGAAAAGGGAAGGGCTAACCTTATGGTATGTGAGGTTCTGTGAAAATTCTTAATGATATTTTGGGTTTGTACAGTTGGTTCAATGTTTTTCTTGTCATATAAATTTGCTTTTTTAGAAGGAAATTTGCTAGCTATAAGGGTTTTGCTATGTCTGTTAAAATTAAAGGAAGATACCAGTCTATTGCAAAAACAGGCTGCCCACCAGTGACCTGCACTGAAAGTCGCGGAGTGTTGAAATTAGGGCATTTACATCTTCCTTAGGAGTATAAGACTACTATCCCAAATGCATCCTCACCTTGACACTGATAATGGGATTGATGAGCAGGCTTTTCTAGTTTTCTTTTTCAGTTCAAACATAGCTGCTTTAACTACAGGTTTGCTGCTTTTCATTTACCACACAGTAAATCCAAGCATTTTTACTTCAGAAAATGAAGAAATTTAAGATATAAATAATAGGTGTACAGAAAAGATTAAAATGAAAACATTTTGAATGTTTTTGAATGAGTGTTTTTGTATCTTTTGTTTGGCGCCTTTGCCATACCATCATCTCAAAGCTGGGGGACAGTAAGTTGTATGCAAGAGGCAGCACAGTAACTTCTGTCTATCACACATATTTAAGGTAAATATCTTTATCTTATCTGTGACCAAACTGTATCACTTGTATTCCTTTCATTCTCTTGCAGTAGCAGTGAAATTATGGGTTGTAAATGTGAAAAAGTAACGTTGATCATGTTCAGAAAAGATGCAGAATTCAGAAGAGATTCACCAGATCTTCATAAACCACTGTTAGCAAAGCAATTGCTGGTTTACCTACCCAATGCTGCTGAGCACTGATAAAGTTGCCTTCTTGTAGTGTTGCCAAGTCTTGTTTTACTGGCAAAAATATGTGGTACTGAGCATTTTGTTGATTGCCACTGCCTCTGTCTTTGAACAGGAAGGACCCCAAGGAAATGGCTTCTCATCTAGGGTTATATGTTTGATGGCTATGCGAAATGTGCAAAAAGCAAAACACCATCTCTCAAAAACCGGAGACTTCTTCACAGTCAGGTGACTCCATGTCATCTCTAAAGATAAGGGAATTTAGGAGAAAATTTAAAGCTTTGGTTTCCTTGCAATCCAGGTGCAAATAAAGCCGTTGAATGGGGTCTTTTGAAGTGCTATTCCTGCGGACCCGGCCAGGTTTCCGTGTTGGGAAATGCTGGCGGCAGCACAGCTTGTTTAGCCCTCAGGGAGCATGTGAGAACCTGTCTGTTTCTCTTTTGTAAACCTAAAATACCTGTTGTGCTAATTTTTCTCCTGCAATGTGTGCTACCTATTTGCCTTTCAGGAAATGAACTAAAAACATCCTGAGCACTTAATTTCTCCCTTTAATTTTTTAGTTTTGATCACTACAGTCTCTCTGCTATGAAGTTTTACAGCTTCATATTAACACGATCTTAATAGGTTCTGCACATCCTTACACATACCAAACAACACAGTTTGGACAAAGCCTTAATTTAGCCCCCGCTTGCTAAGGTCCAGCTCTGAGATGATGGCATGGCAAAGGCCCCAATCAGAAGCTCACAAGACAGTCTGAAATGCACATTCACAGGTTCATAGCAGGTTACTAACAGTGTGGCTTTGCTTACTGCCAGTAGGGCTGGCCAGAGGAAGGATTGCATTTTGGCTTGTGTTGATGTTTGTAGGATTTTCCTATAGCAGATGGAAAAACAGACCTTCTCAGGAGTGTGATCATGTCTCACTTTGGTGGCTGCACTTCACAGAGGACTTGGATGTTCTGCTTGAGAGCTGAGACCCCTTGCTTTGGCAACACAGGAGCTTGAGATCCCACTCGGCTGTGTTGGTATCACCACAGAGGTCCCCATTGCTGCACTGCTGCTGCTCCCCTGCCTGCTGACAAGAGGCTTAAGCTGGTGGCTGCCAGCCTGGCCGGCGGCAAGGAGCCAAACCACAGCTCTGCAGCCCAGGGCTGTCACAGGATCTGCAAACAGCTGGCCCTGCTTTACCTGTCCTGGAGGCAGCACTAC